AAGTCGGTAATTATCGCGTTCTCGTCATCGTGTCTTCGCGTTTTCGCCTTCATCCCTTCGTGTTTTCGTCTTCGCCCCTTGCACCCTGGATGAACAAGTTTTGTCACGTGACCACAAATGCAAACGCCGATTTAACATTTCAGCAAATATTTGCAGATATCTTTTTTTCCACTGCGAGCACAAAAATAAGACATAGACCTTAGGACCCGGCGTAAATTAAGCTTTTATATTATGTGAGTAGTCATTACTAGACTTTAGTAGTTTTTTAGAACACTTCGACACAAATGTTTTTTTCGCAAAGCAAACGCCGATAGGTTTTACTTTTTCCTATCATTTTTTTCACTGGAAATACATGTTGAGGTAAAATAATAGAGGATATGTCTTTTTACATGCCATTCCTGTCCCTAACTCATTTATAATTTCATTAGCAAAGTTATATTTGACGTAATCCCATGTCATTCCCCGTATTGTCTAATTTGCAAACGTCATTTGAACATGTAAAATATGCAAACGCCGGTTGAACATCTCTACCGTTTACACCGGTGCTGGAAAACTCTGTCTTACATCCCCATGTAAGACAAGTCGCGTGCTTTAAATTACGTCATTGATGCGCGCTTTTTATGAATGAATCGCGTTCTTAAAATGACGTCATTTTTCCGTTATGAATGAAGTTGTATGTTCATACGCTACTATAAGAAAAAAGTGCGTAATGAGAATATATCAGTTTTCATAATTTCTGTTCCGAAAATAATTGACATGTAACATGTAAGAAAAAGAATCAAACACCGGCTGTCAGTGCAGACGGAATTAAATATCTAGCTCTCGGGTGACTGTTTAAGGCGGAAACTCGGCAGAGCCTCGTTACCGCCGTAAACAGTCACCCTCGAGCTAGATATTCCGGTATGTACCGGCAGCCGGTGTAAGATTCTTATAATCTACCGTTTACAACGGTGCTGGAAATCTCTGTCTTACACCCCCATGTAAGACAAGTCGCGTGCTTTAAATGACGTTATTGACACGCGCCTTTAATGAATGAATCGCGTTCTTAGGATGACGTCATTTTTCCTTCATGAATGAAGTTGTATGTTCAACTACGCTACTATAAGAAAAAAGTGCGATATATATATATCAGTTTTCATAATTTCTGTTCCGAAAATATTTGACATGTAATATGCAAGAAAAAGAATCAAACACTGGCTGTTGGTACAGACGGGAATATCTAGCTCTCAGGTAACTAATAAGCGGAAACTCGACAGATATTCCGGTCTGTACCGGCAGCCGGTGTAAGATTCTTATAAACCGGTGGTTATTTAAGTCAAGTTGCAAAATACTTCTCTCTTTTCTCCTTTTTTATTTTAAAACATTCTTCTTCTTGAATAACAAACTTTTATAAAACTTCTGTATATCCCATTTATACATGTATACATAAAACCATATAATCTTCTCAAAAATCAATTCCACACAAAATTCGTCGGGAATAAACTTTGATTTAAAAATGTAGAAAAAAATTCCATCTTCTTAGGTTAAACTATACAGTGACGTTGAACTACACAGTGAGATCACTTGGAGTTACTTGTTTCAAATAAAATTTAACGAAGGTGTTTTCTTTTGACCAATCTGCAGCGTTGAGAATTTGGACCTAAAGCTCTTGTAGAATGTGCTGTTTCGTTTTTATGTTCATCTTCATAAGCCTCTTGAATAGTTTTAAGAATATATGAAGCCAAAGTTTGTGAAGAAGCTTTATAATGAGGTACATTAATTGTCAGAAATAAACTTGTTTAATCTTTACGTCTGAAGGATTTAGTTCTTTTAAGATAGATAGCAAATGCTCTTCTTGGATGGTCTTAAAAGCTGGTACAAAAATTTTTGCTGATGAATGACCAGGTCTATCCTGTTTAGCCAAACCATGTCTGCTAAAAGTTTCCCCATCTGCCTTCACGGAAATAGCTCCTCCTAATGTTAACGCTTGAAGGTGGCTGGCTCCCCTGAATGTCGTGATAGCTGTAAGAAAAACAACTTTTTTTTTATATGTTAAAAATTCAATTGATGTTTTTCTCAAAGGTTCAAAAGGAAAATGTTTGTAGTGAACTAAGAACTTTAGGCAAATCCCATTCAGGCAACAACTTTGTTACAGGAGTTCTTAAATTGAATACTTTTAATTATCTGATAACAAACGGATGTTGACCAATAGGTGTGCTATCTACTGGAGGTAAAACTGCAGATAAAATAGAGCGGTAACCTACTGTAAACCTTTATTGTACAAATCTGATAAAAACTCAGCACAAGTATTTAAGGATGCTGTGAAGGAATCAATATTCTTTTGACGACACCATATCATAAATTGTCTTAATTTACTGGAGTAATCTTTCTGAGTACCAGTTCTCCAGCTGGTTGTAAGAAGTTTGAAAAAAACCTTTTTCTCTAAACTGTCTGTCGATAGCAACCATGCAGTCAATTTCAGAACACCTGGATTTGGATGACATATCTGAGATTTTGGTTGTTGTAACACGTTTGTAACCAATAGAAGACATAACGGTTGAGCTTCCGACAGATTCAATAAATCTGGAAACCATGGGCGTAGTGGCCAAAATGTTATTAGAATCAGTTTGCAATGAAATTGTTTATTAGGATGAAGAACTCTGGAAATGAGACAAATATAGTTCAGCGTTTAAAAAGACATCAACGGGTGCTTAAATATATTTCAAATGACCAACCGACGTTTGCCCATTTTACATAATCAAACGACGTTTGCAAAATCGACAACAAGTGGAAAACATGGGTTTACCTCGAATATAACCTTGCTAATGAAATTATGAATAAGTTAGGTACGAAAATTACTTGTAAAAAACATATATCTTCTATTATTTTCCCTCAACATAGGTTTCCAGTGAACAAAAAAGATAAGAAAAGGTAAAACCTATCGGCGTTTGCCTACCAAAAAGAAAATTTGTGTCGAAGTGTTCTAAAAAATCACAGAAGCCTCGCAATTACTACATACATAAAATAAAAGCTCAATTAACGCCGGGTCCTAAGGTCTAGGTCAAAATTTTGTGGATGCAGTAGAAAAAAAGATATCTTCAAATAATTACCTGAAATCGGGTCCGTAATTGCTGAAATGTAAAATCGGCGTTTGCATTTGTGGTCACGTGACCACACTTGTTCATCCAGGGTGCCTTGGTGTTTTCGACGTTTTGCGTTTCAAATTTCTTCTTTTGTAGGCGATGGCACTAACGGAACACCGTACATTTCTTAATGTGACTTAATATGTTTTTTGTCATTAAAACCAGCAATAATAAAAATACATTTTTTTAAATTTCAGAAATCGTTACTTTACTTGAAAAGTGTGATCAGGAGATATTTGATGGCTACAAAGATTACAAAGTAAATAGTATATTTTAATTATTTTATAAATTTATGGAATCATTTTTAGGCCAAAAATATATCTACCAAGTATGAGATAAAAAGTGACGTTCTTTGTTACGGAGTTTCGCGAACTTCAGTTTTACTGCTTGTTTCCAGTTTAATTTCCACCTTTTAAAGAGATTTTGATATCTAAATAAAAATATCTGTTGTTTTTTTCAACCCTTAATCTGTATAGAATCAAACTGGTTGTGTAGTCAGGCTCTAGACTGTTGGTCGCCCGGTTTCTGAATTTTTATACTGAATTCACTTTAAGACCGAATGGAATATTCCAAATTTAAAACTGGACAAACCCATTACACAAATCCAGCAGATTTTAGGGTTAAAGTCTTCATTTTGGTGGTATTGTCTACGTTGAAAATAAGATTTCGTTGAAAAATTTATTCATATATTGATCATATTTATTTCAACTTTATACAGCCGGTCTTTTATAGTGGCATCTTTTAATACGGAATCAAGCTTTTGTTTAATTATCATGTATGTCAAGTACCTCGGCGACAATTTTAAATTTATTTACAGTCATTGAATTGGTTTCTTCTTAAGTTTCTTTTACAAATGACTAGATTGTAATTCTTCAAAAAATATTATCTCTAAATTACAATGAAGAAAAGAACATGTATTGTGACTTAGTATTTTGTGCGGAAGTTAATTAAGAATTACGACCAAACCTAGTTTATTACACATTTGAGCCGCGTCATGACAAAACCAACATAGTGCGTTTGCGACCAGCATGGATCCAGACCACCTGCCCATCCGCGCAGTCTGATCAAGATCCATGCTGTTCGCTATCAGTTTCTCTACTTGTTACATAGTTGGTAAGCGAACAGCATGGATCCTGATCTGAGGCTGGTCTGGATCCATGCTGGTCGCAAACCCATTATGTTGGTGTTGTCGTGACGCGGCTCATTTATATTTTACAGTCGATATTCAGCGAAGAGATGATAAAGACAATTGATGATGTTTCAGAACATGTCATCGAAATGTTGCAGGTAATTTATTATTTTATTAGTTTTTATTATTAAATTACATAATATGGACTTTTCCAGCTTAATTGGAAATGTCAATTATCAGTTTAATGTTGTTGTCGCAACATATTTAGGTCTCCTTCATTTCCACGAGTCCTTGACCTTTTCATTTGCCTCATATCCTATCTGCCTGCGAGCAGACTGAAACTTTTTATGACTGAAATACTTTTCCATCTCGCGTACATTTACCTATTGATAATTTTTATTTGAATTTATAAACGCATTTTGAAAATGTCATTAAAGCATGAAAAGAGCAAAAATAAAATGTTTTAATTTTGATTTGATTTTCTTTTTTCATGCAAAGTTTAAGAAAATTCTCTGCAAAAAATCCTCTTCTTTGCAGAAACGTTTATAATCATTATTAATCATATTCATTGGGGAATGTTTAACAATGTGTTAACTAAAATATGGTTAAAGATATGGTCAGGTAATCTGACGATCGCCCCCCCCCACCCAAAAAAAAAACAACAACAAAAAACAAAAAAAAAACAACACAAAAACATACACACACAAAAACAATAACAACAAAACAAAACACATACACACAAAAGCTCTGATTAAATTATACAGTAAAAACCCTTAATTAAGAATGTTTACACACTTTTTGACCATGGCCTATTTTAGTCAATTTATATGAACAAACAATATATATATCCCTGCAAATACAACATAAAACTATGTTATAAATTAACATCTATTTGTCAACAGGAGGATGGAAGTGGGTTAGTGGTGTTTAGCGGGTGTGGAACATCCGGTCGACTAGGATTTATGGTGGCCGTAAGTTATATATATAGTACAACCTCTGCAGATACAGACAAACATGTTTTTGTTGATGAGTGGTGATGCTCTATAGAGGTTGAATTTATTTTGAAATTTTACTTTTAGAAGCTATTGGGCAGTTGTTATAAAGAGATAACTGCTTTATAGAGGGTCGCTCTGCAGAGGTTACATTACCTTCCTTAAAAATCAAAGCAGCTGACCAGACAATTACTTATTACTTTATTAATTCAAATTTTTTTTTTAAAAATCTGTAATATGTACACTTGTACATTGTTCACTGCGAAAATCATATGATAATTTAAAAATAAATTAAAAAAAAGAGTAGCCTATCACTTTTAATATAATATATACGTATCGGTCTAATTAAAATACCAAACAAAGCCTCCAACAGTACTGAGCCGAGTCAGATTGCACCAATGTGCAAGCTGGCCTGGATCTATACCAGTGGCAGAGGCTAATCGCTGTTTGGTTCCGTCATATAAAAGTTTAAAGTGTCATTTCTTTTACCATCACAGAGAACGTTCAATGAACTTCAACGTGAGCGGAAACGTCCGGAAATATTTCGGTACCTGATTGCTGGTGGTGACAAGTAAGTTACTTTAAAGGCACATTATGCCTCAGAATCCATATTTATAAAAAAAATAGTTAAAACTGTCAAACATTTGTCAAATGATGTTTAAAGAATGGATAAAGTGCATGTTAAATGTTTTATAACTGAATAAAGTAGCACTGAACATGTATTTATGTGTCGTAAAGGTAGCAAGATGTAAACAAAGTAGTATTTTGACTTTCAATCAAAATAGTAATTCATTACTAGTATAATTATAACAATTGCTAACAGAACTAAAAGTGCAAAAGATAGTGCATGTATATAGCAAACGAGTATGTGTTTAGAAACAGTAACAAGATACCAAAAATTAACAGTGAAAATCAATATCATTCTGAGAAATAATAGACCTGTAACTAATTCTTTCTTGATTTATATTTACATATTTATAACAATCAAGGGTCTGTTGGTATATCCAAACAATCAGACATAAATAGTTGTTCTTTCTGTGATATAGACCTATCAAACTGACGTGTCTAGAAATAAGAATAATAAAAGTTAATAAGGGCGTTTACATCAACGAGAATCGAAACGTTTTTTTACCGTAACTGTAAGATTTCCAAATGAAATGGTCTGTTTTTATTTTTGATTCATTACTTTAATGGCTATATTATAACAAACATACTTTTTTGTTTACTAAGGTGGCATAAAGGGGCCATCAACTATCGTGTGCGCACGTAGTTGCTATTGCGTGCGCATGTGATAGATAAAATATTTCTGATGTTCCCTCTATGTCACCGTAGTTTACTGTATATGCATGTGTATGTATTTCTAAGCGGCCATATTCCATCGTTTCACGTATTATTAACGTTTTGAATATATTGCATAATTATATATACATATTATTATATATCATTATTATGTAGCACTAGCTTCGAAACTTATCCAACCAATGTATTTTTTCCTTTCAGAGCTTTATTCACGTCGCAAGAGGCACCCGAAGATGATCCCCATGCAGGCATCGAGGCACTTAAAAAGGTGCAGTAAAAATTTGAAGTGAAACATTTGAAATGTGACTGTTATTGATTAACTCAACCCTAACCCTCCTGAATTTCTTAAAATGACATTATGTCCATCTAAGAGTATATAGTATGTGAACAGGTTAAAGTCAAAATAAGATCACATTTTACCATTTTCCTTTCAATTTTATCATTATCTTCGCATGAAAGATAAATAACTCACATGGCGACACAAGACAATTTCTATAAATTAATATTCATTGTAATATATACCTGTAACTCCGATTTATAAGAAGAGTGGGACAGTCTTTTTATATTTAAGGCGGATTTTTAAGCATATATCAACTGTTGGTCAATCACCATTATAGCAGTAAATGTTTTGAAATGTAAAGTAATTTGAGCACAACTTGGGCATGATGTCACTTTAAGTGAACTTGCTAGTTTCCATTTTTTGAACTGTCCATTATCAAGTTTGGAGATTTAAAGATGAAAATATATGAAGTTGGTCAACAAACAGTAAAGAGCCTGGTCAGATTGCACAAATGTGCAGGCTGGCATGGCTCTATACTTATCAAGGGTAAGAGTTAAGATAACTCATACGATATTGATGTTCATCTTTATATCGTAGTATTATCTTTCTTTGTTGAAGTTTTTTCTTTCGTTGCATCATTCTTTTGAGTCAGAATAATGGTCCATTTGCGCTTTCTAGCACAGTGGAAACGGATAACGGGCATTTTTAAAAGTAATTTTGGATGAAATTATGTTTTCACAAATTGTGTATCTAGGTACTCTTTGAAAACATAATTGTAATGTATCTGAAAAGTTTCCAGGAACAATGTTCAGTAACAATGTAAATAATTACATTTAATTGTCAGAAAACCAGACATTGTTCAGTACTTCACAGATAGGCATGTAAACACTGCCAATGTGAATTATATCTTAGGTGTGATAAGGCAAAATGCAAAAATATTGCTGTCCTACAGAAAATTTCTCAAAAGAAGGAAAACAGAAAACGCACAGAAATACAATAAACATTAACAAAACAATGATATCTGTTTCAATCACTTAGGCCATTCGAAGAGTTATACCGCCAAGAGAGATATATTATGATTAGAAATTACAATTTCCTTGTAAAAATTTGGCGCATTGGAAGACAACATTGACAATAAGGATCCTACAGATCAGCAACTCTCATGGTCAAAACTACTGAGAGTAACTTTAGATATCAAAGAGAAGATAAACGATTAAAACACCGTTATTACACATTTTCTTTTTCTCCAATTAATTTACCTTATCATATTGTTCAGTGGTTTCAATTATTGAGTTTCTGTTATATATGTGTCTTAGCAGGCCCCATTGTGTATAGTGTTTATTCCTGTTATAACTCCTCTACAAGGGGGGGGGGGGGTATCGGGGTCAGAATGGTCGGTTCGTCGGTCTCCTTCGTAGACAGGACATTTATACAAGTAATCAAACTTGGTATTTAGACCGCCTCGGGTAAAGGTCACTGTTACTAAAAATAGAAAAATGGTTTCCGGGCATTAACTAGAGTTAGGAATGAGATATTGTTATCAAACTTGGTGCATAACAAGCTTATATAAAGACCCTGGTTGATATTGCATTTGGACCCCCTGGGGTCAAGGTCACGTTACTAAAAAAGAAAAATGGTTTCCGGACAATAACTAGATTGAGGAATGCGATATTGTAATCAAACTTGGTGTATAGCAAGCTCATATGAAGACCTCGATTAGTATTTGATTTGGACCCACTGGGGGTCAAGGTCATGGTCACCGTTACTAAAATAGAAAAGTGGTTTCCGGACAATAACTAGAGTAAGAATGTCAAGCTTGGTAACCTTTTGGAAACTGTAACAAGATACCAAATGTGAGAGGATTTTTAGAAATTAATATGATACCATTTCGATGGCTTAATTGGGCTTTAATAAACAAAAATGCATCACTGCAATGAAATTTTTTATCAATGCCATCATTTTCCTTATCATTTTAATTTTGTCGGTAAAGAATGTGTTCATACCTTTTATCAATACAATTTTAAAGGCACAATATGCCTCTGGAATCCATATATGAGCCGCGTCACGACAAAACCAACGTAATGCGTTTGCGACCAGCATGGATCCAGACCAGCCTGCGCCTCCGCGCAGTCTGATCAGGATCCATGCTGTTCGCTATCAGTGTCTCTACTTGTAATAGGTTTTGTAAGCGAACAGCATGGATCTTGATCAGACTGCGCGGATGCGCAGGCTGGTCTGGATCCATGCTGGTCGCAAACGCATTACGTTGGTTTTGTCGTGACGCGGCTCATATTTTCAATTGTTATGAAATGTCAAGCATGTGTGTAATAATGTTTTAATAATGGAATTAGATCATATTATATGTCTAACAACTGAAGAAAGTTGCACTGAACGTGAAGTAATGTATCACAAAGGCAGCAAAAAGTAAACCAAATAGTATTTTGACTTCCATACAAAACACTTATTTGCCAACAGAGCATGAAAAGCAACAGATAGTTCAAATATGTGGGAAATGAGTAAACTGTAACAAGAAACATTTGTACCAGAAATGAAAAAAAGTTTCCGAGTAATGAAAACGATTGCATTTCTGGGGCATAATGGACCTTTAATATTCATTCAATAAAATTGTATGTTTAACTTCATGTCTGATGTATTTTTTCTTTTACTGTTTTAAAGATATCAGAAGGAAAGGACCGTGTATTGTATATAGGTATAACTTGTGGCTTATCAGCACCTTTCGTTGCCGGGCAACTAGAATACTGCATGGATAATTCCAAATTTGTACCTGTCCTTCTAGGTTTTAACCCAGAACATTTAGCCAGGTATTTATTGATTGCTTAGAACAATTAATTCAACTGTCAAAAAGTTTTATTTTCTATAAATGTATACTTTATGTAAGACACCCATTCGTATATTTATTTCGATACCATTTACGAGTCAGCTGATGTGTCGAGGCCTATGTGACTTCCGAGCGATTAATACACTGACTTTGCATCTTTTGTTCGTTCGAATCCCACCGGTGGCTTTGGATTCTTTTAAGTGAGGAATTTATCCAGCTAGCCAACGGAGTAAAGATAGTTCTTATAAAAAAGCCAGTTCGAACCTGAAATAATGTACAAAGGTTCACCCGAGTTCTTCCTATGCCAGTGTTACTGCAAAGTCGCATATTGTCATAACAGTGTCATGATTTATACGTAAAATCCCAGTCATTGGCTACGGTAGATATAGAAATAATAGAAATATACCCTAATTGTTCATATTTTTTCTTCTACAGAAATATCAAAATAGAAAATTGGGATAAAACATTTTTGCAAGGTAACTATAATCTGTCAGTTTGAAAAGTATTATATATACATATTTGCATGTTCTCATTTAAAGCTGCACGCCTCCAGATGAGCCAAAATATTTCAAGAAATTCAATCTTTAGAAAAATGTATAAATATCGTAATAAAAGTAAAAATATTCGATATCTAATTGATTATTAACTTGTTTTGTGCGATTAATGACTGATTTCACAGTATCAATTATTATAATTCTACTGCGTTACTAACGCAGTCAGAGGTATTTATGTATGTTTTGACCTCTTTTTGGTAATTAACGTAGATTGTAAGTGCCGTTTGCAATGTGTAAATTACCTTCTTTGTTCACTTTACAGTATTTTACTTTTAAATACATGTACTTTTTCTCGAAATTTTCATGAAAATTAGCATGAATCTGGAGGCATGCTACTTTAGAAGCCATATCTTATGTTAAGTCTGAATTATTCGCTTGATGTTATCAACTACAGCAGTGTAGTACCATATTAGACAAACTTTGGTTAACGTTATTTGTTACAATGCTAAAATCCGTCCAGTCTAAATTTTCCTGTATAGTTTTTCAATAAGGTTATTGCAATTTACAAGAAGTATCATCTTTATACAATGTCTATTTAAAATTCATAAAATGGTTGCATGCGGTAGACTCATATACTTACTAATTTGATCAAAGTTTTTTTTTAAGTTAATTTTTTTCTCTCAGTTTTTCAATATTTTTTTTATTTACTTTATATTAATAAGATATGAATAATATCTCATGCAGTGTTGAATCTGTCCGTTAAAAACATTATCAAGCAAAAAGCCCGCAGAGGTATACATTCATTAAACCCAATTATCGGGGGTATCCATACATATGTTTTGTTGTATACTTTTAAACAATGCAGGTTCTTATGATATTAACTGATGATTGATATACACATCTTAAACAAATCTGGTAAAAATGGGAAGTATTCTTATTATACCGTGAACTACAAAGAATCGCGTATACACCGTTGAACAGATGTGGTTGACCTGAATTTATGAATAAAATATTTGAAATATGTCTACAAATGGTTTCATCTGAATTACTTATATGTTACTAACAAATGTACATGTATTATCTGTTAGTTCTATCGCCTAAATTACAAATTTAGTATTTACAAAAGGTGTCAACAAAAGCTTTCATTTGAATTTCAAATATTGCCCTAGTAGATGTATCTAATAATACTTTTACTCGGCACAAATATGATACAGTTACTAATAAATCAATCTAAGAGTACTTTCGCCTAAGTTTTAAAAATCGTATTTTTACAGTTATTCAAAAGTTTTATTACTGGAATCTAAATTATTTTGTTTACAAACGTGTCTACAAGTTCTTTAATCTGAACTACAAACATGGTTTTTCATATGATTTATTCAGTTAATAATAATATCATGTCATTTGCATAATGTCGTAAATTTATCATTCTGGGAAAAAATGGATTTAGATCAATTTTTTATTGGACATGTTTGAAAAAATATTGAAAAAAGAGTTGTACTTTGTTTATTTCATTTGCTTTATTTGTCAGCCTTGTTGTAAAGAACAGAGACACAGTATTAATTGTTTTATGTTGTAATAAATTAAGCAATATAATTAAATATGAAAAGGAAGTTACAAAGATGACAGATATTTTAACAAGGTCACCGTGTAAATTAGGTGAACAATTAATTCTGTTTTCTATGTAGCCTGATCCAATAACAGGATCGAGTCGGATGAAATGTGGGACAGCTACGAAACTTCTTCTTGAGACAATCTGTTTGACTGGACTCCTGGACATGTATCACTCCGAGGAGAATATGTATGTTAAATACCCTGTATTTGTTCCATGGCTATTAAAATGCTAGGAACCAGTCTCAAAATGAAACACAGCATGCTATTGGTTGAATTCAAATTCTTAAATTTGAATTAGCCAATCAAATGTTCGCATTATGGGACATGTGGTACTTCACGATGTACCAGAGTTTGCTGTTATGGCTGTACTTTGTATAAATCTTTGTCTTCATGCGCAACCTTCTAAAAATAATTAAACAAGTTTTATGTGTTACATATCCTGTATCAGAAAACTAATAAACAAAATTTGTATTTTTGTTCTTGAAACCAGAATAAACATTAATGTAAATTTTGTCATGACCACTAACTACAGTGAAAGAATATACCGATATTTAATTGTTATGCCCATAATGTATCATAGAATTTTCTTATTAAAACTTATGATTATAGTACAGAAAGCTGACATTAATTGCTAATACGTGTTCGTCTTGTCGCAACATAAAGAGACACATTACTTTAAATATCTATTAATTTAGACAACTTGATAACATATGACTTAACAGTTTTGGATATGTATTTTTGTTGCATTTTCCGGTTAATTTTAAGCTTAACTTTTTAAAAAAAAATGTGGAGCTATCATCATAACCCTCTTGTCGGTATCGGCGTTTCTTAACATTTTTGACAAGGCTCATTTTCTAAGAAACTATACGCTGTAAAAGGTATTCAAATTAAAATTTCGGAGTATAACATGTTTATTATCACTAACAGGAGCCCGAATTTTAAATGGCGATACTACCTTTTATTTTGGCAAAGTTTATGCCCCACTTTACATATTCATTGCCTGGTTTAAATGGCTTTATTTGGGCACAATAACCGTTGCTAAATTCTGTTTGTCTCTTGGTTCTTGCAATTTATATGCATTTTTAGTAAATTAAATAAGTATTTGTCCATTTATTTTTAGTCAACCATCAGATCTCTATGCGCATGTTATAACATAGTGAAACAAGGCCGTGTACAAGGTTAAACCAAGAAACTGTGGTTACGTGTCGTCGAAAGAAAGGCTGACAAGTGGTCAAATGGATTTGACTGTAAATGTTCAATATCACCCAATTGATAATTATAATCCGCACACCTAATATCTTTAAATGGAACCTGTCCACCTAAAAACCATTCATGTATTTTAGGCTAAATAATTTTGACAACATAGATAGATCAATTTTGGCAACAATAAGTATACTCGTAGCACTGAGTGGCGAAATAGTGCAGACAATGATTGGATTGCACGGATATGCAGACTGATCTTGGTCTGCACTGGCGTACACTGGCTAGAATCAACAGGTTAAGGGTTGATCCTGTTAAGTACATGTATACAACTAGGTATGCAAAAGGGAGAGAATTTATAAAAGAAAAAAAAGACCTTTTGTATAACTTCACATATTGACGTGTCTGGTAACATTTTGCTCTTCGAATTTAACTTCCTGTTGATACTTTCTATGCTGCCAATTGTTTTAGATTCCCATGTGCCTGTAAGAAATCAAAATTTGTATATTGTTTGTTCATTGAATCATTAATTGCATACACTGCACCTATATTTTCAACACATTTCCGAGGAGAGATACATATGGTTTTCATCTTTAGTTTTAAACTTTCTTTGAGCAGTCTTCGCTCGGGAGGAAACATTTATTACATTGGAGATGACAGTTTGGCCATCATGGGTCTGATTGATGCCTCAGAATGTCCGCCCACGTATGGTGCCAGTAAGTCTGATATCTGGTTTAAACATATTTATTTAAGCTCGATTGCGAAGCAAGTTCTTGCAACTTATATTAATCACTTTGAGTTCGCTTTCTGGAACCGACCAGTACTGGTGTCATATGAAGAAACATGGTCGTGATCCGATTAAGGCTCGAACCCATGATCCCTGGGTTGAGAGGCAGACACCTTAACCACTATGCCACTGCTCCCCTTGTCAGATATTTGTGTCATTTAGATTCGACTTTCTACACAACCTCTTTGTATCCAAATTTACGAACATTTTCCATTTTCCTTTCAAAGATATTAATATCAAGGACTTTAGGTAATGACGATATAGCGATAGTCTAGCTTGAACTGTTGGCGGATGGCCTCGGGTTGTAGCACACAGATACATTTGAGAAAATGAGCAGATACATATACCTTGGAAGATCTACCGACTTTCCGGAAGCTTGCCGGAGACCTTCATCACACGAAAGAAGTCACAGTCCCTGGCAGGATTCAAACCTATAGCGATTAGAGATAAGTAATATCTAACTCAGCGGCCTTAACCATCCTATCATGGAGGCCTTATATTAAGTGCCAATTACAAATGGCAAGGTGATCACGTGAAGATGTTGAGATGCATTTTATGGTTGATGCCTTATATGTAATATACCACGAGATCAGATTTGTTTAACTAAAATAAATTGATAAGATTTTATATAAAATTTCTACTTAAGCTTTAGATGATGTTCGGGGATTTGTGGCCAATGGTTATAAAACGTTGCAAAATGTGGAAGGAGATCTGTCGCACCTGGCAAGTTACTTACATTATATCATGAGTGAAACAATTTAGTCATGCTATCAAACCTCCTAAATTTAGCTTACTTATGTGTAAACAATATATTTACTTTGACTGCTGAAATATTTGTTGAAATAATAATGATAAACATTCATATTATTGGAAGTGAAATTTAAAAAAAATATCCTTACACGTTCTGTATGTTTATACACGAGCATTTTCTATGTCTTTTAAGGAGCAAGCTCTATGTCCATACATAGACAATGTCTATACACAAGCGAGCTCTATGTCTATACAAGTGTAAGTTCTATGTTCATACACGAACAAGTATTATGTCTATTCACGGGCATGGTCTATGTTTATTCATGAGTAAGTACTTTGCCCATACACGAGCAAGCATCATTTTTAAACACAAGCAATTTCTATGTATATACACGACAAAGTTTTATGTTTTTACACGTACAAGTTTTATATCTATGCATGAGCAAGTTCTGTGTCTATATGCACGCAAGTTCTTTGTCCATTCACGGGCACTAATAGCTTAAATTGTTAAAAATATAATAAACCGAAAAGTAAATGTTTACCACTCATATCAATTTTGTTTATGGTATTGGGAGCTCTCTAAAAAAAGTTCCTATTTTGTTTCAGGGTGAACATTTTAGAATCTCTCATGACAAATTTTTGCACAGACATATCTCCAACTGACCGCGACATATTAATTGCTATAAAAATTGTGGTATGTCATCATTATATATTTATTCATAGTTGTTATTTTATTTTTACATTAAATAACCAAATATTTAAAGATCTAGTTTCTATATATTTTCATTCCTTTGGAGTCATTTGTTGAAAATAAGTTTAGTGTTGAAGATCCACAATACCGCTTTCAACAGGCGGTGCTGGGGAGGGGATAGTGACTTGATGTATTTCTAACATCCTATTATGTAAATTATTCCTATTCTCTTACTGCTTTCTCTAAATAAATCCCTGCACCCA